ATGATCAAGATGTTCATCGTGGCAAGATACTTCATCACGAAATTTATATTCACAATGGTATATGTATTTCCTTTTTTTCATCATGTTTTTCTCTAACATTTCCTATTTCAATCCTAACAATTTTTGCTCTACTATCAGGAGGTTCATTCCCATTATCGTTATCTTTTATCCCACATCTCACCAGATTATCATTATCATCTATCACTAAATTATCGTTTTTGATACCAATCTCTCCCACATCTTCATTAAGTCCAACAACGGCATTTTCACTATTAGATCCCTTCAGTATGGTTCCAATGTTGATTATTTCAAAAGTTACGTTGAATATTGGATTACCACTTTCTATTATTTTTTCCTGGTCAAATACTAATCTATAATTATCTTCTAATTTAGGTTCCCTAAATGATTCTTCACCTTCAACACGCTTCGAATCTTCCTCAAGTATTTTATTTTCATCCTTATTGGTAATATCAGCATTTTGGTAACAGATAAGTGCTTTATTTTCGTCCCTTATAATTTTATCTTCCTTATCATCAGAATGTCTTCTACTACTAACATTTTCTTCATCAGCAGATTTTTGACAATATTCTAATGCTTGAACTCCATCATTTCTATTTTCTTCCTCATCAAGACTTTCAGGTAAGTTCTCCACTTTCAATTCACTCATATCTGCTTTACCTTCTTCATCTTGATCAATATTCACTACATTAACCATCTTTGCCTCTACACTTTCTACCTTCTTCATAGAATCATCACAACCCACATTGTCCCAGAAGCATTCAAATAAATTTATCTCATGACTTAGTATATCAGACTTTGGATCTTCATCAAATACTGTATTTTCATCCTTACCGACATCTTTCTCTTTCTCTGCACTATCATCTAAACACCACCACATCAAGTTTATTTTGTAGACTGTTAATACAATTAGTTAGCAAGATTAATGATAATCTGCCCAGGTTCTTGTGTCACAGGTTAATCTGTGACTTTCGTTACAAACAATCTAGTCCAAATGGCGAGCACTTAATCGCTTTGCTATGACTGATTTTCAGTTTATATTAAGGCAGGTACTTTTATTTATTACTCAAAATACACTTTATTAATTAAGAGCAAGACTAATACTAATTCAAACTTTTTTTTCTACTATTACATTCACTTTGCTCCTATATATATACTTTTGGGTTATATTACTTACATCATAATTTGTTCATATACGATCATACGTTCGTTTGACTCTTATATTACCAATAAATTACCTCATATTTCATGCATACTACTTCGATTGCATAATTGATCGTTACTCGATCTCTTAATCCTCGATCGATCACTTACTTGTCATATGCATCACATGCACAAGACAACGATCGTTTGTTCATTTTACCTTCATTCTTATACAAATTTACCACATACTGTATATCACTATGACACAAACTAGAGCCCCAGGAACTTCGTCCCCAAAGTTTTCAGCATAAACAGGACCTACTTTCCAACATTATCTGCAAGACTAATCCCCAAATTCGCATAATTTTCCACAAGTACTTCACCAAGACTCTTCCATGATCGAATATTCTAATTCGGAGTTCAAGTAAGTATTCATCTTTTCTACAGTTTTTCTTTTTATTTGAGCTTTTCACATTATTCTTAATCATTTTACCAATCTTTGTCTTCACTTTATCATTTGCATAATCATTCCCCACTCGATTCATTACTACTTCCTCAACATCATTTTTCACTTTTGCCTCTTTTCTTTTTATTTTGTTATCCTCTAACTCATCCACTCTACTTCTTACATCCAACCTGCCCTTCTCATTCCTTTCGATTTTCATCTCTGATTCGTAAACATGATCAAGATGTTCATCGTGGCAAGATACTTCATCACGAAATTTATATTCACAATGGTATATGTATTTCCTTTTTT